AATCTTCCTTTCTTTCATGTTTGCCCATTTTACAAATGCTTCTTGAAAGTTAAATGCACTTTCAGGGCCCTAAATATTAATCATTAACAAATATATATATCATATATTCTAGCCATTTTTGTTGATCGCTATGCTTCATCTCGTTTGATCACGTTTTTTTCGTGAACGCTAGCGTCATGGTTCTTCTTGCGAAAGATATTTAGATTTTTTCTCCTTCTTGTTTGATCAAGTTTTTTTCATGGATGTTAGCGTCATGGTTTTTCGCGGAAGCTTTTTTTTTAATGGAATTTAGTAAAATCCTTTAGCAAAAATGCGAAAATGCTTTGTTGAATTTTAGCATTTTTGAGGGGTCTTTTCGCATTTTGCGAAAAAAGCTACCGTAGCGGAAACCCTGATACAAAGTCGGACTTCTATTTAACGAACATTTTGGAAATTAGTTCGTAAAATAACTTCGAAATAGCGAAGGGAATTTTCTATTGAACGAACTTTTCCTTGAGATCCACTTTGATTTCCTAAAATATTTCAGAACATTTCAAACTTGTTAACGCATTTTATGGGAAGATATGACCTGGAATTGATTTTCGAAGCCACTTTTAGATGAAACAGTAAAATCCTCTTCAAATTTTTGTTTGCATTTCAAACTAAAAACTCAGACAAGATTGACGGATTTTATCAGTAGCAATGAAACTTAAGAACACAAGTCGTAATGCATGTTTAAAATTACTTTTAAAATAAATGCAGCTTTAATTTTATGCATAAATTTAGCTTATTTTAGTTAAAAATGTATGTAGCATGATAGTGTAACACTGGATAATGTTTTGCTTTTATAATGTTTTGCACCATGGAAGAGACACTTTTAATTTTTGATTTAATACTTTTTAAATTTCACAAGAAATACTAGGGGACTATTTTGTAGATTTAGAAATATTTAGTTCATAAGGTTTTTTCATACTTTGCTAATAAAGTTCAAAGCTTGCAGAGGTATGAAAGACTGACACTAAATTATGGAAGAAAACAAGTATTTATGAACACCCTATGCCAGAACAATAAGCTTGTGGGTCACATCTGTCGAATGTTTTCCTCGAAATTTAAGATCTTCAATTACAAACTAATGGAAGTTAGACTATGGCACAAAAAAGGGATGTCATGCCAAGAGCAGAAGAAGACGAATTTTTTTTTGTCTTGTGTATTTTTGCTATACCTTTAAAAATATTCAGTCAAATTAAACTAACTTTTTGGATAAATTTGAAATGAATTAAAAAATTATTGTTTTAAAGTTTGAAAAAATGTGCAGTATTTAAATTCGTTCTTTTGTACTGCGCATGTGCGCAAAAAATTTAAAATTAGAAAAATCTGATTCATATATCTTAAAAATGTTACAAGCACTTTTCTAAGTAGTTTTTGTACTTTTAAATGAAAGCGCACAGTAAAATCAGGTTTTTTTTTGCAAATTTTATTCTGTAGTATTGCAAATTACACTACTCTGTAATGACTGGACATCAAGAACAAATTTAAATGTGTGAAAAAACCCCTTATCGTTTTGAACTTTGTGTTCTCAATTGAATACAGGTCTGTTTCCTCCAATGCCATCACCTAGGCGTTTCTGCTGACTATCCTCAACCATTTACAAATTATTGGAATTTCATTAGATAGTAAAACAATTTATTGGCTGCATTAAAAATGTGTTTCTTAAATATGCTTTTGAAATAGTGTCCGTAATATTGCTCGACTGTAGTAGAATGTTTGCATTTTTGTAATAAAAACATTCGTTTTTGTTGTTTGTAGGCGGCTGTTGGTTCAGTTGCATTAGAATATTTTGAAGGGAAAAATCCAGAGATGAAATTTGGTGAAGAGGTACGCATATTTCTTTTTTGCTAAATGTAATTCTATTCCAGTTGATATATTCATTAAGAGAAAAGCCCCACAATTCGTGTTCCGGTAATTCAAATTTTAACCTGGCTTATAATTTGTGTTAAGAGTAACTCAACTGTCAAAAGCATGGAGAGGGAAAACTCTAAACATGCTTTTATTTTCGAAAATAAAATTAATGATGGATATTGCGGTGGTATCTTTCGATACAAGAGGCAATCCGTCACCCAATCACAATTGGAGATAGTAAAGCGTGAGATATTTTAGTTCTCTTCTAATTTTTTTCCCCAACAAAATTATGCCAAAACAGTACTGGTGAGGCCGGGATAGCCTGGTGATTAGGGCACTAGGCCCATGTCGAAGAGTTCGTGGGTTCGATCCCCGCCGGCCGAAGACTCCCGTGTGACTGATGCACTTTAAGTCTGTCGAGTCGCAAAATCCTCCATGTTCCCATAACAAATCAATACCTCTGGGGGGGGAGTACTGATTAAGGAGTGCCCTTGTCTTCTGGACTGGGTTGAAAATGACAAGGCTAGGGAGTTGAACATTAGTAGTCGTAAATCCAATATTGGGTCGGCTGTTCAACGACGGATATAAGATGTATAAAAACAGTAATGCAAACAGTAAAAGATAGTTAAATAGTATTTTTTTTTTAAATTTTCGATAAATAACTTACTTTATTGTGCTATTTACGTTTTAAGAATATTTTACCTACATCCAAATCAATTTTCATCAGTTTAAATTCCAATAAAATTAAACTCCGTTGTGTAATTTGTAACTGACCGACTTATTTTATTGAGGAAAAATTTCATAACAGTTGTAAATTTTATTTCTCGTAATCTAATAAAGTCATCTTTTTTTTAAAAATTAAAAGTACTATAAGAAAATCAAAGTTTCATAAATCCTCTCGCTGCTGAAATAAACGAAGTCGTGTAATTAATTTTTAAAAAAATCGGTTATTTTGGAACATTCTCATAGTAATTTTGCCGGACATTTTTGTGCCTCTGAGCACTTTTATGCACCTCTGAGCACCAACTAATGCAAGGTTTTACCATAAATATCAGTACAATGGCTCCGTCTAGGTACTCCTTGTTTGCGATTTCGTAACAGCATAAACATAACATGATGGTAGATCCTAAATAACATCGTCCAACATAATATGATGGCTATTGTTGGTCCAACATTAATAACCATAATTTGTTGGTAGACTACCAAAATAACCATGCGACATCTTAGTTCGAGGGTTGCTGTTGGTCCAGGAACAAAAAACATAACTTGCTGGTTTACCATCATAATGATAAAATAACATCTCTCATCTTATTTTAATGGTTGTTGTTGGTCCAACAATTAAAAAACATAGCATGGTGGTTGAACCATCATAATAGAAAAGTAACTTGTTCCATCTTAATTTGATTGTTGCTGTTGGTCCAACGATAAAAAACATAGTTGTTGGTTGACCATCATAATGGTAAAACAACCTCTGCCATCAAAATAGGATGGTTTATATGGGTCCATAAAAAAATCAAACATTGCTTGATGGTTTACCATCGTAACACAAAAGCAACATTTTCATTTTGTAATGATGGAAATTTGTTGGACCATCAAAACTAGATTGAAATTGTTGTATGATGGTGACCATCAACACAGGTTGGACCATCAAGGATCTTACTGAAACCAACAAAAAATCAAAATACTTTGATGGTACCATCAAGAATTTTGTCTTGCGCAAGTTTCATTTTTCATCTATACTTTTGGTATTCTCAGACAGTTTTGTACTTTTATTGTTTGTCTAAAGTAAGAACTCTTCTAGCCATTCGTCAGGACTCATGGCGGTGACTATGGTAACGAGGTATAACTATTTCAAGTAGGGGTGTGGGGTTATTGTTCGGTTCAGGTCGGCAAGAGAAAGGGAATCTTTTTCTTCGATCTACTGTGTTAGCCCTAAAGTGAAGAGAAACTACCCTTCCTGAAATGCGCTATTCTTGTTTCCATGGCTGCAGACAGTCTCAGACTTTGTGACGGGGAGAGTTCTAACCGTAGACAAACTACATATTCAGATTCCCAACAGAAACATTTTTAAATGAATAAAAGGATATGTTTTCAGGTGTTATCTTTATGTGTTCTTTCTATAATGTTGACTGCACCTCTGGGGGCTCTTGTGATCGATTATTTAGGACCTTTATTGTTAACAAAGGAAGAAGAAGATTGCCCACCCTCGAATTCAGAGAAAATAGCACAAGCAGCGCTAGAAATCGCCCAAATCATGCACAGTGAAGGGATGATCTCATGAGAAAACAAACTTTTCTTTTTAAAAGGTATCAGAGACCATTGTTTCAGAAAAAAACATTATCTGAAAAATAAAGGTTATAGAAAACGATACCTAAGTTGCATAAACTATTGATCAACTCATTTGCATAATTTTTTTTTCACTTTTCGTCTTCTCATTCGCGTAATTTTCTTCCGAAAAGAATTTATTATTAAGAAAACTGTAACTCTGTTGAAACTTGTTTGTGCATTTTTTGTTAAAAGAGTTATTTTTTAAAAGATAGAACAAAATATTTATTTTGCGCATAATTAGGATTAGTTTCGAGAGGAAAATACTGAGATTAGGCCAATGAAAGTTTATATATATTTTTTTTTTTTGCGAGTGAATTTTTGTTGCACGATGGCGTTGGCTTGATTCGAAGTTCATATAAATAAAATAGGTAGAGTTCTCTCATATACTTTTAAGCGTATTAGTACATTATTTAACTGGTTTAGTTCGTACGACCAATTTCACCTACTTTGCCAAAAGCTCATTTTTAACACCGTCGTTGAACAACCGACTCGGATTTTCAACTACTAATGTTCAGTACCGTAGTCTTGTCATTTTGAACACAATCCAGAAGACAAGGGAACTCCTTGATCAAGTAGTAGGAGAAATTTGCCTTCGTGAAGGACTTTTTGATGGAACAAAAAATTATTTTTATTTAAAAAATATTGTTCTAATTCAGTTTAGGGGTAAAGCTTGTAGCTTAACTGTCTTATATAGATAATTTTTTTAATAGTCCTACCTATAATTTCGTTATTTTACTTTTACGATATTTAATCAAAATTTCTCCATCGAAATCCCCTGTTTGAAAACAATTGTTTATATTATGTTATGTCAGGTCACAAAATTGGTAATAATGAGACAAAAATCATATCGATTTGAGAGGGGAATCAAAACTATTTTAAACTACAATCATAACGTAGCCTTACATTTCTATTTTTTGCATAGATTATAAATTTAACGAACCAAAATATTTATAAAAAAGAAATTTATAGCTTAATTATTAACTAACCCCCATACATATAGTTATTGACTTCAATGAAATTAAAAATTATATCGATACGTTTGTAACCGATGTAGATACGTAACATAAAAACCAATATTAGCCTTAACTTTTTGTTACAACGTTGCATTGCATACAGGCCATTTTTCTTCATCTAAAAGTTTGAAAAACACGTTTGCGAGGGCTCGCGAAAATGAATTTGTTAATGGCAGTATTTTCAGAGACTATCGTTATAAACTGCCTATAGGGTAGACTATATAAAACATATATTATATATAAGAATAGCTGTAGTTAAGAGTTGGGATAAAGTGTTGTCAAAGGCGCCACCCCCCACTACCGTTAGAACAATTATTTTCAATTAAAAAATATTTTTTTAAATAAATTGCAACCTTTTTTTTTAAATGAAACTTGAGGTAAACACTTAACGAACTTGAGGTAAACACTTAACACTAACGAAACTTGAGGTAAACCCTTAAGATCTAATTTGAGAAGCATTTTGCGAAATGAAATAAAAATTGATATGCACTCCAATTCAAATTGGTGAATTCTTTACAGTACTTTGCTTTACCAGTAGGTCTCAGCGATTACCAAATTTTAGGTAAGATTAAGAGCATATTTAGGACAGCACATGAAAAAAAATAGTTTTTTTAGAGAATAAAACTTAATAAACTAACAAAGAAAATTCATGCGAAAATAATCGCGACAGCGGCATTAGCTGTCGGTGATGTGATCGCGTTGGAAACATGACCTGTCGGTGAAGTGATCGTGTCGACGATGTGGAGATGATTGTCGGCGAAATGAGCTCGACCTAATTTAACTAATTTTTAATTAAATAGAATTTGTTTTTTTCTAAATACACTGCTGGCCATCCAAATTGCAACACCAAGAAAGACAAGAGATATCACAAAAAGAATTTCTTTGTGGATAACGTGTTGACCAAGTATCAAATGATTAAATTTCTGTGAGGTGTGGTTCCTGCCAAAATCAGTAGCCAGAGTATTGTTGGAGATAACCGCTGCCACACGCCTCGGCATTGATTCAAAAACACTTTGGATGTGAAGTACAGCAAACCAAGCAGCTTCCACACGTTCCAAAAGTTGATCAGCTGAGGATATAATCTGGGTCAATTTTTTTTTTTGGTAGAATAATAAATGTAATTAGAGATCAAAGTAAACATAATTATTCATTTAAATTACGTAATTCATTTAAAATTTCATGTTGTGAAAATATCAAAAATTGAAATTTATGAAGATTTTAAATGCGTCAATAATGATTTTACTCAAGAAATGTTCAGAATTTTTGAGTTGAGCTCAGAATCACCGCTGTAAGGCTCAATAACTGGAATATTTTAAAAAGCATAAAATCAAATCTTTCTTTTATTAAATGAAAAAGAGAAAAGAAAGAACTAAAAATCGCATCAAATATGTGGAAGGTATTTTGNAAATGCAAAAATAAGTAATTTAAAATATATGAAATAAATTTGTAAATGAAACAATATTACTTTTCTTTCGCGCCTTTCTTCATTTCATTCTTTCGAGGTGAAAATAAAAACAGTTGAAAAGAAATTCGTTTATTGTATTTAGATTTGCTTTTATGAAAAATGACTATATTTACGTTGAAATGAAGATTTAATATTAGATTTCGGTTCGCGAGATGGATTTTTTATTTTTTTTAAATTGATATTAAATTCATCACTTTAAAAAAAAGCCCCAAAAAATAGGTATATAGTGAAATTCTTCACCAAGAATGTTTTCTAATGGGTGTTAAGTACAACATTTTTCTTATGCAGAAAAACCAAAATTTTATTAATTACAGAATAAAATATGAGTGCTAGTTATTTTTAAGATAAAGTAAGAATTATTAATTGAGGACAAATAATATTTCTTAGAATAAGTTATTAATACCAAGCCTAAGAATATTAAATTTGATCAAGGTTTAAAAAGTATGAAACGAGTAGAAATTAAAGATTATAAAAAGTTTTGATACAATTGGCGGATATATAGGGTTTAGGCAAAATAATGATAACTCTTCTGCAGTCCCTCAATTATTAGTGATACTATGCACCTTCATTGTTTTTATGTGACTGAAACCGGTTTGCACTTGCTTACGTAAGATATATAATACAAATTTGACGATAGGATAAATTAGAAGATATATTATATAAATATAGAATATTTATTATATCAGACATTATATTATTATATTATAATAATTAGATCAAATTATGAGACGCGCTGTAGTGTTTTAATAATGACATGATTTGCACGTGTTTATACGCAATACTTTTATATTATACATGTCATGGGTTTTTATTCAGGAGATTTTTTATATACTTTCTATTTGTATTTATTTTTAACATATTGCATTACAATGTTAACCCAGGAGCGTCAACAAATGCAAACCGGTTTCGTCCGAGTAAAAACAATAGAGTACCGCCTGATAATCTTGCATAGAATCTATTAATATGACTGTATGCTAATTTTCATACTTCTCAAGAAATACTTGTAGAATTGTTTTGAAGTCATGCGATTTCTCCTGCATATGAATAAAGCTTTTAGATGTTTGAGGGACGAGCAAAAAATAACGGTTTCGAACACCAAAAAATAAAGCTTGAAACTCATATCAATTACGAAGTAGGGTAAAATAACCACTTAAGCTTCACTTGCCTTTTAAAAAATCATATTAATTTCAAAATTCGTAATTTTAGTTGAATGACAGTGTCAACATATTTGTTACTAATTGCAAATTATGTAAAAAAATTGGAGAAAACTTACATAATATTGTTTTAAAGTTTTGGAGGTTCAAATAACAAGTAGTAAGAAGACCGTTACTACAATAGTGCTCATAGNAAAATGATGAATAAAATCTAAAGATCTTTTGGTTGAGTAGATTTAAATTTTTCTGTAACAATCTGCTTATCCTTAAGAAATAAAAATTATAGAGTAACAATCTAAAACTTTAAAAAAAATTTACATTGTAACATAATTTTCGTATTTTTAACATACTTTTGATGCGGAACATCACTAAAGGTACAAGAAAATTAAAGTTTATCTTTTATTTTCATTAACTTAGAAAAAAAAACAGTAAAGGAACACTTGTTCCTTCACTGGGTTTTCATCGTTTGGTGATCCCGTGAATAAACACCCCCTTATCTCAGTACTTTATAATACTATGATGTTTAAAAAGAAATAAAACGTAACTTCAATAATTATATTTTGAATTCTCACAGTGAGAAAAATAAAACTATTACATGCAATTAATTCCTCTTCAAGCATATAAATACAAACACTCACCTTATAATTTTTTAAAAGAAACAAGGTGTTGCAGAGATAATTTTTCCAGAGAAGTCTATTTGACCAGGTAATCCAAAACATCGCTAGATGACTTTCTATTGTTTGGCAGTAAGCTATTGTTACCAATCAATCTAAAGAAAAATGTTCAAATTCTTATTTTTAAACAATATATATGAAATGTACCTTCACTGGGTAGTGCTCCTTCACTGGTTCGTTTACCCTATTCTATGAAATATTTGGACAAAATTTCATAAACCTAGCTTAAATAGTCATCAAGATATGGACATTTTTATAAAAAAAAATTTAAAAAATTTATTACGTTTTTTTTTTACTTACGTTGCTGCAGGAATATTCAACAAAAATAATAAAAAATTTGGAGAGTAATTTTTAATGAATAATAAAATTATTATTTTAAAATTTGAAAAAGAAAAATTAGTTGATATTGCTCGAGTTATGAGTATTTAAAATAAACCTTTCATACTTCGCATGCGTAGAAAACATCTAAAATTTCTTTTTTCACAATTTTGTTTTGAATCGTATTTGATAACTTATATAAAAAGTTCCATTTGAGTATTTCGTGTTTTTCCTTTCAATGCGGATTATTTTCACGAAAAAGTCAGAAGTTCATTTGTCTTCTAGGTTGGGTTTACAATGACAAGGCTTGCCGTAAAGTCAAAATTGGGTTGGTTTTTGAACACTGGTTATGAAATAATTTCATTTATTATAAAATAATTACAACTTTTCAATTCTAAATAAGTTTTCTGTAAAAAAGTCAGACTATACGAAACTAAAAATTATGGGTAAGCTCATTTATTCATCATAATTATGCAAAAATATGTTATTTTTTACAGATTATATAACATTTTTAAGGAAGTTGCTAAAGATATTGTCTTTAATGTAATGATTGTATTTCTCATTGTATATTTTCTATCAGTAATGTTCGGTAAAATAAAAATTTGCTCCGTTTCTACTTTTTGTAGTGCAGTACTTAGTCTCAGTTATTTGTCACATTTTTTTAATCACATTCAGATAAAATGAAATTTTACGAAAATTTTTATTTTGTTTTACAAAAGTATTTCTAACATTTTTATTTTAAATTCCAATTATATACTGCACAGCGAGCAACAACAAAAAAAAAACCCACCCTGAATAACTTTTGATCTAATGATCTGATCTTCACGCTATGAGGCCGTGACTTCGGGCAAATTTTATGTTTTATTTCATTGTACTTTTTTACCTATTTAGCAGGCCGTGATAGGGCGCTGGACTCACGTTCATGTGAGCGGGAGTTTGAATTCTCCCGGCCGAAGACTGCTCTTGAAGTAAACGGTGACTGGTGCAGGTTAAATCTGTCTGGTCAGTAAAGTCCTCCATGTGTGCACGATTACGACGAATTGTTCAAGAACAAGAACTACTATGAGCTATAATAATAATAACAACATTTTATTACATAACGGAAGTAAGTTAACACAAGCTGCGGAAGACCGCAGGCAATCCTTTTACAAAACAATCACGACTACAACTACTGTAATACAAAAAACTTAGGGGAGGCAGCCGGTAGCTGCTGACTTCGCACTTTCGATATTGGAATGTGCGCCAAAGCGCCTTTTTGCAAATTAATTCGGCACACACCCCACCGGTGAACATAATGTTCACCTAATTAATACCACTTAAGCATTTACAATAATACTTATCAGCACAAAGATATAACTAAAACTGTTATCATAATGAGCCTATTTACAAACAATTACAAAAACTTATTACAATAAAAATACATTACGATGCAAATTGAATATATAAGAAAAATTCTACTAAATTACAAAGAGCAAAAAATTTTTAAACGTGTATACATACTTAAGGCTTTCAAACTGGTTAAAAAAGAAGTGAATTATTTATGTTACTCTTATCTGCAAAATAGAAACAAAATTAGTAGAATGTATCAATTAATTTCTAAAGGATAAAGAAGCTGTATAGGTTTTTTAAAACTGCCGTTAGAAGTTTTAACTAAGCAAGATCTGACATAATTGTCTCTACCTAAAAATATTTCCTGAATGATCCCCAGTTCCCACAACAATTTTGATTCAACATTTCCTTCAATAAGAACAATATCATTAACCTTTAAATTTTTATGAATAGACGAAGTTTTAAATTGGTTATTTGTTTTTAATTGAAGTAAATATTGTTCTTTCCATAATTGTTTAATAAGGAGAGATTGGTATGTTTTTCTTTTACTGCAGGAATCCCTTGCAGTAGTAGAATCTAATAGCTCTATGAAATGGAGGGGATATTTTGATTGTCCATATCCAAATTCGAGGAAATGAGCCGGAGTGAGAGGTTCAGGCTCTCCTGGACTATTTTCGACATACGTAAGAGGTCGATTATTAACAATTAATTCGATCTCTGAGAGTACGGTCGAAGTCGATTCCCACAATTTGGAAAGGGTGAGATTGAGAAATTCTGTCCTGAGGCAGCTGTCCACTTAATTGGTCAGCTGGTTTGGCATTATATTTTTTACAAATGAGACAAAGCCGAATGATTGATTTTGCTAGCTGACGACATTTAGGTTTACAATAATTTTTTTCGAATTTGAGTCAAAGTTGCCGATACACCACAATGTTCACAATACGTTCATGTTTCCTAATCACAAGCAACTCGGCGAATTTACTACGCCGAGGAAGAATTATTGGATGCTTTTCACCCAAGTACAAATCTGCTTCATTTAATCGACTGGTAATTCGCAATATATTGTCCTTATCTAAGTATGGCACTAAAGTTTTTATTTCAGAATTCTTTCGAAGTTGCTTATTGTCCTTTAAAGTCGATATCTCCTCTGTATAAAATTCGTTTTGAATACTTTTTATCCAAAATTGTTCTGCATTTTGTATCTCATCCGCCGTGAGACACGAGTTTGTAGATTTATTAATATTTCGAGCATTGTTCACAAATCGTAACACCCAAGCAGTTACCCTTAAGAGTCTTTTTAAACTGCTGAATCGATTTATGTCGACAAATGGTTCTCTCTGCTTGGTAATAGTCACATGGACATTGGAGCGATGTTCCAGTTCCTTTGAACTAAAGTCCAAAACAAAATTGAGTTGGAGGTTTGGCCATTGATCTGGTGGTTGCATGAGCCATGCTGGCCCATGCCACCACAAATCACTATGCAATAGTTTGGTAGCGGATGTACCTCGTGAAATAATATCATCGGGGTTGTCCCTTTCTGGACAATGTCCCCATTGATTTGGATTAGAAAACGTCTGAATTTCTTCAGCGCGATTTTTGACATATGGTTTAAAGGTTGAAGGATCACCACGTATCCAATAATACGAAATAAGTGAGTCAGTCCAAATATATATATTGCTTTCAAATTTAAGACAATACGATACTTGTTCGGCTAACCTGGCTGATAATAGGGCTGCTGCCAAATCTAATCGTGGCAGTGTTAGCGATTTCAATGGTGCTACACGACTTTTCGAACAAATAAAACTAGTTTCTATGCTATTACCTGAAGTAACAAAGCGCAAATAAAGAACTGTTCCATAAGCTATTTTGCTTGCATCGGAAAAGCAATGTATTTCCAAATTCATAAATTTTTTATTCGGTTCACCCAAATAATAACGTGGTATCTTAATATAAGTCAAGTCCTCCGCCTCACTACGCCACTTCTGCCACGTGCGGTGTAGCTCAGGGGGAAGATCCGAGTCCCAATCAAGTCCTGCAGACCACAGTTCCTGCAGATGGCATTTCAATCTAATGACGAATGGACCTAGTATACCGAGAGGATCGAAGATTCGTCCGACTACACGCAAAATTGATCTTTTTGATTCTATTTTACGAGACAGAAANTCCCAATCAAGTCCTGCAGAAGGCATTTCAATCTAATGACGAATGGACCTAGTATGCCGAGAGGATCGAAGATTCGTCCGACTACACGCAAAATTGATCTTTTTGATTCTATTTTACGTGACAGAAATTTTAAAAGGTCCTTCGGATCAAAATATATTAGATCATTTTCGGCATCCCACGATAGTCCCAAAACTTTAATTGAAGGTTTGGAATCAGCCAACGTGTTTTTAGAGAGCCGTGTTTCAATACTTTCTTGTTTCCATAACAAAGCAAGATTTTCCGAATTAGTGGTCCATTTGTGTAACATAAATATTTGCAAGCACTCCTTGGAAGTACTTAAAGCGTCTTCAATATTATTTTGTCCCAAAATTAGATCATCGACGTAAACCGAGCTATTTAATAACTCAAATATCTCTGAAAACTGTTCCTTGTATTTTCTAAAATGTTGTTTCAAAGTCGCTGCATGAAGGTATGGACTAGGCCTAAGGCCAAATAGAACTCTGGCAAAATTCAAAATGTAGGGATTACCATTCAAGCTATCTGCCCAGTAAAACCGAGTAAAGTTTCTATCAGGAATATCAAGTTCAATTTGAAGAAATGCAGATTTTACATCAGCTGCAAACGCTATAGAATTTTCCCTAAAACGTAGAAGTTCCAGAATATCAGGATGTAAGTTTGGACCAGTAAATAAGCTTTGATTTAACGAGGCATACCCATCTTCATGGCTAGATCCATCGAATACAATACGCAGTCTACTGGTAGATTTGTCATTGCGTATCACTGCATGATGGGGCAGAAAAAATCCCGTACTATCCCTCAAAGAATCACATGAAGTATGCTCAACTATACCTTCCTTAATGTAACCATCGATTACATCCCTATATTCACAATGCAACTCTGGATCCTTCCCAAACCTACAACATAACCTTTCAAAACGCTTACGAGCAATATTTTCATTATTTTTCAACACTTCTCTCATTCCTGGTCTCCAAGGCAAGCTTACACGGTATCTACCATCTACAAAACTAACTGAATTATCAAACTCACTAAGCACCTCTTCATCTCTATTACCTAAATTCACCGAATCCTTGTCAAATATTCCTAAATTTTCTAACTCCCAAAATTTCCTTAATTCAGCCGAAATTAATTCATTTTCATTAATAACCAAATTTACAGACGTACAAACACTCTGCTCATCACATTTACCCTGAAGAGACCAACCAAGACTGGTATCAATAGCAACCAGTGAGGAATCCAATCTTTTAATTTGTTTTGTTAAAGACCAATAAAAATCCTGACCAATTAACAATGAAATTTCACAATTTTCAAACAATTCATCATTACTAAATGTCAATCTAATTCCCATTGACTCCATTTCCTTCCATGTATCCGGATTTGGAAGGGTAATATTAGCTCTAGAAATTTCTTCGATTTCCACTGCCTCAATCATCGCCTCATCTCCATTCAATAAATTCCTCAACCTAATTTCTACCTTACGACAAGTTTGTTTTTTAGGCACTTTAGATCCGAATGAATATATTTTTAACCTTTCTGAGCCTAACACCCTTAATCCCAATCTACGAGACAAGTTTTTCTTAATAAATGTTTTTTCACTTCCATTATCAAATAAACAAAATATTTTAT